AGAACACGGCCACACAGCCCGGAAGACCCACACCAGCCATCGTAAGCCGGCCGTGAAAGCCTTCGACAATACACTGTCCTAGATACTTCATTACTTCCAGTACCTACCTGGCATCTGCTTCACTATAGTACTCTCTGGCAACAATGTCTTCAAACAGCTCCCCTCCAGTTACACTGGAAAGAAATGAAAGGAGAATCAGCTCCCATTGATTGACAACACATAATAATCACATGCACTTGGAAAAGGCCTTGACCCAAATTTAGGTAAGTATCAGACAGAAAGTATTTAATTGATACAGGCCAAATTGTCATGTATAGTGTGCCCACTCTGTGCTCTCAATCTCATGATGACCCCTTTCAGTCTTAATCTGATTGATACCAGTTCTTATATGGTATAGTTATCCTTACCCAAGTGCATAGTCACGTGCCTCATCCTATGATTTATTTTTTCCACTTCCATGATTGACTGTAGGGAATAACATACAACTACTGTTTTATTCACAGATATAGAGTGCCATAATAAGCTAGCAACTATGAAATGTGTATATGTGTGAAAGAGCAAGGTACTAATGCATAAATATATACCTGAAGGATATTGTAATTAGCATATTTACATAAGATAGGTTGTAAGCAGAGGCAAGAATGGGGGCCTTTTTTAAAAAAGACCTTGCATGTCATGCTAGATTAACAGGTCCATAATAGACTTATGCATAGCTATGAGGAATGACAAAGCAGAAAAGCTGTGGAGAATAGCTTTACTTTCTAATCTGCCCGGATACTTTCGGAGATTACCAGAATGAAGTTAAATAGGATTTTAAAAAGGATAAGTCAAGGATAAGTCAAAACCAGATACTCCCTCAAGGGTAGGAGCTTTACTGGAAATGAGTGAAGATCATACTTGTGCGGGACCAATAAAGGTGAATGAACATTAATAGGTTGTACTGAATACACTGAATAAAAACATAGTGAAAGGTTGAAAGGTTAAAGCTCAGAAGGGCAATCACAGCTTGACATTTGAACTGCATCATTTGGATAAAGAATGGTAGATGTCCAATCAAGGGGGATGAAGACATACTTTGGTTCTTTCAAGTTGAGAGCTGAGAGATTGGGGGATGGGGTCAATCAAACAATCAACTTTATTATGGTCATTGACCAATTCAAAAAAGAAGAGGAGAAATTCTGAGACAGTTAATAAAAATTGTAATAAAACTAATTATAATATTCATGTGCTCAATGTACTATATATTCTACAAATACTAAAGCAAAACTTAAAGAAATAAAATTACATTGGTGAGACAAGAGTAAATGCAAACAGAATGGATCCGGGTGGCCTATAAACCTGACTACAAGGGGAGTGGTTAGATGTAACCAGTGATCTTTGTAATATAATATAACAAAACATGGCAGGATTGGTGGGACAGGATTTGGAAGAAAATCTTCACTGCTGGGAAAGAAAAGGCATTTGGGGTGTCTGTGGATCTAGATTATTGTCAATGAACGTAGTTTGAAGAAAAATTGTAAGCCTAATTCACACATTTGATCATGTGTAACCTCATGTTTCTTTTATGCATGGGTGAGATTTCCACCACCATGTACATATTTTGTTTTATTTGCATAGTGTCTTGGCCATTTCGTGGAAAGGGCAGGGGCCTTTCAGCACCCCAAATTCTATACCCTGTAATTTGTGAGCGAGGTATTAGGTTTTTCAGTCCCTAAACCAGTGTTTCTCAACCTTGGCAACTTGAAGACGTGTGGACTTCCACTCCCAGAATTCCTCAGCCAGCAAAGCTGGGAGTGGAAGTCCACATGTCTTCAAGTTGCCAAGGTTGAGAAACACTGCCCTAAGCAGTCTACAAAGTAGTCTGTCTCAATGTATCACTGTAGTCTTCAAATCTTGAATGACAGGATACGGTACCTAGAGGCTTACAGAGCATGTATGTCTTCCCAGCACTTGCCACCTCAATACTGCTTGCTTGCCTTCTTGGAATTCTAGGACCATGTTTCCACTGCACTCTTGCTCTCTTGGTAGTGGCAGAAATAAAGAAACCAAGAGCAGCCTCTGGGAAGAACGGTTGGAACAGAATATCTATTTTGATTATGTGAATTTTACAGTAATAAATGTAAGCTGCAACAGCAGGCAGGATCTTTTAAAGAACCGAGAGAACAGTGCAAGAGCAGCTGGTTCTCCAGGGACTCCATGTTAAAGATGCTAATTTTTGCTCTAATAACTTTGAAGGACTGATCTGTATAAAGAATAATGGCAATTCCATTAAATCTGCATGTCTCATAAGGGGACGCTTAGATGCAATCATTTCAGAAGTTGATGAAAGTTCCAGATGTTGCCATTCTCCATTTGGAACCCTCCCAGATTTCCCTACCACATTTTCCATCTTTTATGGAATTAATTATGGAAAATCCCTTGAGTAAGAAGAGAGGGAACAGTTGTGTTGCGTATTTTGAATAGCTGTTGCAGGAAACACCCCTAAGATCTAAGCCACTTAGTTACTACTTTCTGATCAGAACTGGACACAAGCTATAGAACAAAGGTATCTAAGAATAAATGTCAGCATCTCAAGGTGGGAACAGAGATAGACTTTAAGAGAGCTGAAGCTACTTTGGCAGAGTGATTGTGTTGTCACTTGACTCACAATTGATAGTCTGGGAAGCTGAAAAACCATCCAGAAAAAGGCCATGGCAACCACTTCTATATTGCTCCCAAGAAAACTGCATGGATGGAATTGCCGGGGGTCAAACTTGACTCACAGAACCTTTGCCATGCTTCATGGTTTCCCATCCAATGGTGACTAATGTTTTTTGTAGAACTAACCTGTTTTTCTGAAGATGGTAACAGAACAACAAAAAGCAGTGTATATACCCCATACACTGCAACAGATCCAATATGCAACATGGAATTCTCTGGAGAAAAGCACCCTATGGAAGATGAAGTAGGTGTGCATGTTTGTAGTATAATCTTACTACTTCATGGAAAATTTCTGGACTTTCTGTAATTACTTACAGGTCAAATATCAAATAGTGGTGTGCCTCTTCTGATATGCTGTCATGGAGTCTCACTGCAAAGATAAAGAAAACTCGGGATTATTATTATTATTATTATTATTATTATTATTATTATTATTATTGCTGCTGCTGCTGCTGCTGCTGCTACTTATCCAATAATCAAAATTCTCTACAATTCTAATTGTATAACAATATAATCCTTCAGTTCTGTAATACAGTAAAACAATGCTTCACTGGTATAATATACAAATGCAAGGGCAGAAAATGAAACAATATTGAAATCCATTTTTTTTCTTTTTCTCAGTCATGCCACCTTTTCCATATTGCGAGCTGTTGAAACCCGAATACGTCTGGAGGATCCTGCAAACACACAGATATTCTGATAGACCATGAAAATATTGCAGAATTTCTGTGAAAAATTGATGATACCAGACCGTGAAACTAACAAAATAGAAAGTTTGGATGTCATATAATGGAGAAGAGGGGAAAGAGGTATGAAATCAAGGGAAGGCAGACCACAGACTTGAGACCAATAGATAAGGTATTTTGTGTTTGTGCCAAGATGTGGGTTGAATGGTTTAGTATTGTTGCTGAGAATGGAGAACTTATTTGCTTCACTGAATATCCAGTTCACTCATTCAGTTAGTATATATTAGTCAGTAACAGTTTTCAGATCTTTGTATTGTGTGCTTAAAACCTAAGCAGGAGTGAAGATGATAGGGCAACTTTATAAGCTGCAACATCAGCTGCGATGTTGCTCTACCACCGCACACATCTCATCTAGGTTCAGAGAAAATACACCCATTGGTGCATAACACTATTTTAAGTTAAAGTAGGAGATGATTTATTGCTTATAAGTTGTCATAAAGCAGTCAACCAGCCATTGCTTGAAGACTTAGCTGGGTCATGGATGAGGGTTACCCTAGAAATTTTCCCTTGAATTAGCAATTAAAATGTGTTGCAATTTAAGTGTTAGTTCAGATTCAGGTGAAGTCATCAATGTAAATCAGAGATCTGTGAAAACATTTTAATGTTATTTAAAATAGGGAGATCCTGGGTATTTAATGTACTTCTGTCTATGTTCAGCCTGTAGGTTTTTAAATCAATACACAAATTTTAAGGCACTTTATGGAACTCAATCCCACAAAAACATTGCAGAAGAAAAGGTCTGAAACTTCTCGTTGCTCAGAGAATTGGGGAATGAATCATAATTTTTAGCAATTTTATCTGGAAACCACTAAGATCATCCAGTTTACTTTGTTTCGAAGCATGCTGGATCAGGGTGAAAGCTGAATAATATTATGTCCAAGAAACTCCCCCCCCCCCTCCAAATAGCAATTGAGGAGACTCTGAGAAGTGCCTTAATCAGGTTTAGACTAGGACAAAAATGTTTTACTCAGAATTTTGTGCTTGGAATCCAACAATGAAAAAGATCCAACAGATGCTTTCTACCCAGCCAATAGCTAATTACCTTTTTCTGCTTTATCCCAATGTTCATCCCAGGGTTTTCCATAATTTGCTTGGCAGGATACCACAGCTTTAAAGGAAATCTTACTGTGACAGCATTCTAGCAGGCAGGATGTCTTTAGCTGCTTGGCTTGATATGATATTCTCACACAAATTCTTGTGGACACCAGCTATCAAGTCAATCTTCCACACCCCACACCCCACCTGGAGATGGGTTCCATGTCCAAAGTGATACTGCCTTTACTTCAGCTGCAGCTCAGAGTAAAAGCAGAAGCAAAATGAGGGGCATACTACAGCATACAAGAAACTTGGTTAATATGTAAAAACATCCAAAACCCCCCCCCCCCACACACACATTAAAATGACCATAGGATTTGGCTTTTCCCATCACAGGAATAGTGTAGTGAAAAATACACAAAGAGGAGAAATCGATATCAATTTATTACAGAAATTTAAAATCCATAGAGCTGAAACAGAAAGGAATTATTATTGTAAGAACTTGCACTACTGGACCTCTTGAATAGCCAGTTCTTTAGGAGGTTACCAGGCTAGCTCAATAGATTTACAGCATCTGAACAGATGATGCGTATTTCAGTTCTGATCTAATGCTGACATGTTTCAGAATTACTTGATACTTCTGAATCATTACAGATTATGGTAATGGACTACAGTTAAAAAAAAAAACTAAGCTAAAATTTTGATTTTACATAAGTTTGCTAAAAATCTAAATACTACTAAAATTTTAATCATAACTTTTGCACAGCCTTTTGAAATTATCCAGTTCCTATCTGTTCTGTGCTACAACTAGAGAAGTAAAGGCAATTCCCCCTTAAGACAGATTCACTTGATGACTTCGATACATCTATGAAGCTTTCTTAACAGCAGTACGGGCCTGGTTGCCACTGTCTTCTTCTGGCATGTTTTTCTGACCTACCAGTCTAGTGTACGTACTTGTGATTTTTGGGTGATTTCCCATACAAGTAACCCTGTTCAGCTTTTAAGCTGTGTTTAAGAAAGAACTATTTCCAAATGGAAGGCAAAGCTAACCATTTGTGATAAAGAAGACTAGGAAGATCCTAAAAGCATCCAGAATGTGGATATGATAGAATGTGAAGGTGGCAGATTAACCTAACTTCCCTAACTTGATATCCTCCAGCCTTGTGGTGATTTTCCAGTCTCAGAATTCAGCCAACGTACCTAGGTGGGAGGAAGCCAATGTAAAAAGTAAATAGAAATTAACATTGTGATGCATCCAAATTCAGGGAACAATGGAAATGCATTTATGTTATTGTTGATTTTGAAACTATAACTTGTCTATTGCTCATGTGTATTAATAATTTTAATATGATCACTAAATGCTCATTCCACCATAAAAAAAGAAAAATCTACAGTAAAGATGACACCAATAGTTCCTAGGGAATGCAGATGTTTCAGAATCACAAGACCTGGTCTCAAAAACATTAAGCTTAACATTCCTCCATGCTAGAAACTGATGCACACTAACGCTAATGCATTTTAAAATTATTCTTTCAAGGTTTGATAATCTAAACAATTATAGGCTTTCTCTGAAAGTTCTGAATGTTAATAACAAAAAATCTTTCTTAAAACTGATTGGTTTTTGGCTCAAAACATTCTCCACACAGATGGGAATTACTGGGGCACAATCCTTTTAGATTTATTATGAATTTTTTTTGGCGCCCACTAGAAATTGAAGGAAAAATGGTTTAGTAGATGTAAGACACATTTTGCAGAAACATGTAACTCTTCTTGAAGACCACCAGGGGCCATGCTATTGCAAACTGGCATAGTGCAGTTCAGTACGTATTTTTTTCTGGAAATGGAAAGTTATGAATGTAAATTATTATCTAGAAATGTCTCCATTCAAATTGTGTCTCTGCTATTAGGTAAGAGGCTGTACTTTGCTCTCAGTTATTTTCACACTTTGAAAAGAGAGAGTAAATGGAATGCATCTTTCAATGAAAAGGAGTTTCCTCTTTGCTTGATTCTCCTCTCAAGTCTCCTCCAAAGGTGGAGGGCTCCTTTGGAGCAGATGTCAGGGTACAGAGAGGCACGGGCGGGGGGGGGGGGGCATACAAAAGTACCACCACTGATCACTTTTGCATAGTGACTTCAGTATAATTCAGCATGACATAGATGCTCTTTCTCCTGAACTCCAATTTGCACAACTCTGTTCTGCATATTCAGACATTTTTTGATTCCCACTTTCTTATGTATTTGATTTTTTCCTAATATTTTGCATCTCGTATCATATATGTGATTAATTTTCTTTATTCTTCCCAGACTTTTTGGCTTAAGGTATAAAAAGGTAACAAGATTTAAATCTGATTTTATGGTTTTCTTTTGCATGCTCTTTCACACAGCATACATGAAAGTCAATTCTTCCATAATGTCCTTGCTTCTGACATTTATTATCCAAGTCTTCATTTATCTCATGAAAGCTTTCCGAGATCAAATATGACCCAGTGATTAGTTTATTGTACCAACTTTCACTCACGATCCAGCACAATAAAATTATATATGCTCTTCCAGGTATATATCAATATATGAAACGTATCTGGTTATGCTAGTCTATGACCATGATACAAATTGATTTGATTTGAACATAACTGAGTTATCAAATTACTGCAGTGGAGATCCAATTGACAACACAGGGATAACCAAACTGATCTACCTTACAGGTTTTTTGCAAGGGCTAATTAATAATATATGTGAGGCACTTTGGACAAACATTATATAAATACTTAATTATTATATTACATAGTGGAAGAAAATGTTATATAAGGAAAATGTGGCAGTGACAGAAAACAGAATACCAACCTTGAAAAGATGAGAAGATAGGAGAAATGATAGTAGAAAAAAATTACTTTTATGATGCTCCAGTGAAGATTTCCTACGATATTATATGTTTTTGCTTGCAACATATTTTATTTCCTAGCATGCTTGCCTTGGAATTTCTTTCTAAGTTATAAAAACATCACAACCTTTGTTAAAATATTATCATCTTCTGCAAGTCTGCACTGAATTTGCTCTGAAATTTATTACAGCACTCGAAATTATTATAGGGATTTATGAGTTTTGCGGTGCTTGAATGAATCTTTTTTTTCTAGTTCTCCACTGTACATTTGAAGATTTGAGACATGGCTGTTAATCCTATCTGTTTTCTCCCTATTTCCATGCCCACCTAACAACAGGCACCCTGATGACAGGCATTTGTATTTAGTTACCAGTATAGTAATATGTCTGTTTATCCTATTTTTCTCCCTCTGTGTTCTCTTATCCTTGCCTCATTGGGTTTTTATTTCTGGGGTGGGTGGTGGGTTGGTACTTTAATCCTTATGTCCTCTGTCTTACATATTTTATATTTGTAAAGGTCAAACAGCACAAACAATATCACATTTAATTTGGACTACCATCAGACCATGATAGAAGATGGGGCTTTCTACTATGCATTATCATTCAAAAATGAATTTTGACCAAGACAGATCAAATCTTGCCATTCCCAATTTTCCAGAAACTTGCAAGGCATGGCAAGGCAAGGCTGCTGGGCAGGGCGGAGGGGAGGGGA